TGTTAAAAGGCATTTCAGAACATGGAGTCTGGAGAGAGAGGAACACAGACTGCAGGTCACACACAAAGAAAAAAGGAGCATGTGCTAGAAATTTGTGATTCTGAAGAAGTTTCTAAGGACAAAACGAGCAGTTAAGGACTTGACTGCTGTTATGAAGTGGTTATGTGGGCTCTACATCCTACTGCAAAGAGGAACATGCAGGATCATTGGAGAGTTGATATTCACCTTCTGTGTGTCTGGTGCTGGAATAATGTCTAAGTTCTGGTCTATCTTCATTGGAAAATGTAAATGGATTATTAAAAGGAGAAAAGGGATGCAGTGTTCAAGGCTATGAACCTTATTCAAAGGATGCTAATTATAGTTACCCAGTCACCATTGGAATATACCAAGAAAGAAATCACAGAAATTATGCTAAGATCTTTAAACTCCAACAGGAAAGGAGACAGCATTTTCAGTAGTTGAGCATAAGAGCAGTGGAAGATGCTTCGATGGAGGAAAGTGGGCTCTCTTTGGCTACTATGGGCAAGGAGGGTGCCTCAGAAGCAATTCCACTGGCACAACATGCCATTTCCCCATGGTTTTTCTGCAGCTTCCACTTAATATTAATTCCATCTTAAAATTATCCCTTGTGAAAATGATATCACTACAATGATATGAACACAGTGTGTGAGCAATCCACTTTTTATTAATTACTTATATCTGTAGATTTGCATCTAACTTGAAGGAGTGGCTTCTGTTAAAACTTCACTCTCCATTCATAAATGTTTGAGTCTTAGCTTCTAATTTAGTTTCATCTTGAAAGGTATATAAAATATGATTTCCTTTAAAACATGACAAACAGAGGAATTCAATAGAGTTTAAAGGAAAATCGGAATAAATTTTTGGCAATTTTGAACCCTGAATTTATTAGTACTATTGTCTATCAACAACACTGTTGAACGTCCACTTGAGCAGCTGGTTAGTAGATCTGCAGCCTTGAGAAGTTTTTTTGAGAATGTAGTACAGAAAAATGGCAAAAATTCAGAAGCTTGTTTCTTTATATCATTTTCAATAACATGCAAATGCAACCATACAGCTTTATTCTTATAACATAGTCATAATTGTTGTAAGTGGTGCAGGAAAGCTCCTCTCTTTCTTTCTGTTTAAACCACCACAGGTCTGGAAGGAATTCAAAGCTTTTAACTCTGTAGTAATGTTCCTTTCAAGACTGTTCTGTTGTTGTTTTTTTTGGTTTTTCTTTCTTTGTTGTCAGTTCTAAATCAGCTGCAGTGAGAAGTGTTGTTTACTTTGCTTTCTAGGTGTCTGCTAAACCTCAGGCAGCTGCTAACTACACACAAATCTAAAGATTTGGGAAGAGAGGAGGACTGGTAGAATGAATTTCTGCAGAATTTGTGCTGTAATTGTAAATGCAGTGTCTGGCAGCGTGTCACTAAACCCGGGGCTGACGCTGCAGCTGCTGAGCCACAGGAGGGCAGCTCTGCAGATGGAGCTCCATCCTCATTCTGGTCAGCCACCACATGAATTCCTGGGCTACCTCTCCTCTTCCCTCAGCTGAATTCCTTTGCATTTTAAAAATTCCCACTGCTGTCCCTATTAAGAGGAAGAGACAGCAATGATGAACATAAAGAGTCAGAAAACTAAATGACAGGAGGAATGGAAAAAATATCCCTTATCTACACTCGCAGTTGTGCACCTGCAGTTCCACATCTCATCAGGCAAGAATACTGTGTTTCTTCTGCTGCAATCTCAGCTGCATTGCTATTCTGAACAGTCATTAATTCTGCATTTTCACTAATAAGAACTGTTAGAAACAAAATTTAGAATCTTTAGAAAAATGCTACAATTCTGGTTCATTAGTCTGTGGTTTGTTTTTGTTTTGCCTCTGCATTTTATCTGCTGTAAAAGCTCTAAAATATTTTCTTACAGGACGTAGCAGAGGTGTGTTGGAGGTGGAGTATTGGCTACCTGAGGCTTCTTATTTTTAAAGAGAATTTGAATGCTAGTTATTTTTTAAGGTTCAGAAAAATGAGCAAAAGCCTGAGTCATTCTGTCTTTTCAACAGCACTGCAAATAGCAGGAGATGGGAAGTTCCTGTCTTGCCATTGTGCTTATTCACATTTCTGATTACAATCATGAGCATGCACAAGCATCAGTTCTGTGTTTTTGAGATGAACAGGACAGTATTGACAGCTTTTATGACCACTGCTGGAGAGGACTGCACTGTCCAAGACCCAGGTCCTGCCTATAAAGGAACAGATGAAGACAGTGCTAACAAGTTTCAGAGCACTGGAAAAGATGCACTAACATTAAAGGATGGGTATTGCAGGGTGCTGGCTGCTTTGTTGGATTGGTGATGTTTCAGACTTGTTTCCTAGCACTGGATTGAAAAATGAAGCCATGTGATTCCTTACAACACCTGGTTGCCATGAAGATGATTAAAAGCCATGAGGATGATGAAGAGCCTGGATGTCCAAGACCCAGGTCCTGCCTATAAAGGAACAGATGAAGACAGTGCTAGCAAGTTTCAGAGCATTGGCAAAGATCCACTAACATTAAAGGATGGGTATTGCAGGGTGCTGGCTGCTTTGTTGGATTGGTGATGTTTCAGACTTGTTTCCTAGCACTGGATTGAAAAATGAAGCCATGTGATCCCTTACAACACCTGGTTGTCATGAAGATGATTAAAAGCCATGAAGATAATGAAGAGCCTGGGTGTGTGAGCATTGACATGGGGATCTGTGATCCCTGAGCTCAGAGAAGGCTCAGGGCACTCTTACTGATGTGGATGAAGACTGATGGTGGGGAAACTCCCACTCCAGCCAAAACAGATGGAGTGGGATTGTTCTCAGTGGTGTCCAGTGACAGGACAAGAAAAAATGGATGTTAGTTAGAATAATACACATTTCCATTAAATATGATTATTTTTTTCTCCAGTGAGGGTGATCAGGGTTTCTCAGACACATTGTGGAGTCTTCATCTTTGGAGCTCCTGAAGACCCAACTCATGTCCTGAGCAAAACACCCTAGATGACTGAGCAGGCCTAGATGATCTCCAGATGTCCTACCAACCCCCAGCGAGTCTGTCAGAGCAAGCTGCAGATATGATATTCCAAAAGGTCTTTTTGAAGAAGCAACAATTCATAGGTTTGGAAATTCAGATGATTGGTTTACCTCATCAGTGTATATAAGCATCTAAAGGGGGATGTCAAGAGGATGGAGCCAGGCTCTTCAACAGGCAGAAACTGATGCATAAGGATTTCCTCTTGAACATAAGGAAGAACTTCTTTACAGTGCAGGTGACCACACAGTGGAACACAATGCCCAGAGAACTAGTGGAGCCTCCCTCACTGGAAATATTCAAGAACCATCTGGATGCAATCCTGTGCAACATGCACTGGGGTGGCCCAGCTTTAACAGAGAGACTGGACCACCCGATTCACTGTGATTCTTTCCAACCTGATCCATCCTGTGGTATGGTTCGAGAGACCTGAACCAAATCCCTGAAGATTCAGGGCACTGCCCCCCACCTCCTGGCGGCTGAGGCAGCGCCTCTGACAGCCTCCAGTGCTTCCCACCAGCTCCCGCTCACAAAGACTCCCCATGGCAAGCGCGCTGGCCCCTCAGCGCCAGGTGCGGACGGGCCATCCCTCTCCCTCCAAAAAGCGATGTTTCCCCTTGGGATGTGCGAGCTCCGGCCCGGCCAGCCACACGCAGGTGTTGCTCCAGCTGGAGCTCCGCCTGGAGCCCGGGGCCGCTCCCTCCATCCCTGCCTGCCTCCCTGCCTGCCTCCATCCCTGCCTGCCGCCCGCGCTGCCCATTGGAGCGGGAGCGTCACGCGGCCCCTCCATGCCGCCCGCGCGGGCCGGGCAGCGCCCGCTGCTGATTCACCGGCAGCCAGCCCGCGGCATCCCGCCCGCTCCGTCCCGCCCGCTCAGCTGCCTCGGCTCGGCTCGGCTCGGCTCGGCTCGGCTCGCCGGGGCCAGGGCGGTCCGGGAGGACTGCGCCTTTCGGCCGGGACCGGAGCGGCGCTTTGGGATCTGGCCGGGCGGACGCGCCCGGCGCGGTAAGCGCGGTGCGGGGCGGGGGAGCCAGCGGAGCCGGGACACGCTCGGCCCTGCCCCGCCGTGTCCCCGCCGGTCCCAGCCCGGGGTGGGTGCTCCCGGCTGGGCGGCAGGGGAGCCCCGAGCCCCTGGAGTTCAGCCCGCGGTTAACAGGTGGCCGAGGCGGTTCCGAGCAGGGAGCAGGCGGCTCCCGCAAGCCCTTAAGGTCTGAAGCGCTCTGCCGATTTTTCTTTCTTTTTAAATAATAATAATAAAATGCAGGAGGTGGCATTGTTCATTTGGGTGATGTGGAGAAGGTCAGCTGTAGGAAAGCTTGCGTCTCCTTTCTGAATTTCTAACGGAGTAATTCCTTCTGTATTCAGAAGCAGAACGACTGAAAAGCACACTGACTGCTGAGCACTTGAATGAATTTAACAACTGAACCGAAAATGTTTGAAAAAAAATGTTTGGGGGGAAAAAAACCTCCAAGACCAGTTTATTGTGTGTTTGTTGTGGGGTTTTTTACCTTTTTTCCCCCTCCAGGTAACATCTCTCTTTGTGCTTTCAGACTAAAGGGATGAACGCCTCTCCTCAATACAGCCTTAGATTACTTCTCCTGCTCTGTCTTGCCTTCTTTCCTTTCTCTGCGTGTTCTTCCCTAGTCTGTTGATTCTCATACTTTCCTGCTGCCCTCTCCCTCCCTTCCTCTGCCTTTAGCAGTCTCTGTTTTTAACAGTTGTCATCTCAGTGGCTTTTTCCTCTGGCCTCCACCTCTCTTGACAGTGACTGGTGTGAGTGCAGGTCTCTCTCCTGTCTGCCATTCTTTTTTTACTGGAAACAATCACCTCAGTGACAAGCTCGCAAAACTTCTCTCTGAGCAGTCCCCGTTCCCTGACATTTGCCTTTTCATCCTGTCATCCAACCTTGTTTGGCACATAAAGCTGGACATGACTGGAAGCATAGACACACCACAAGTTTCTGTGACAGGCGTAGCTCGCAGAGAGATGGGACAGCGGTGGCAATGCTGCCTCAAAGTGCCCCAGCAGGGCTGGCTGGACTCTTTTGGAGGGAGCTCTGAGGCACTTCTGTTTCCAGGTGTGTTTCCCAGCCCACTGCTCTGTCCTGGAGTGTCTCCCTGTTTTGGTCTGTTCCTCTCATTTGAACTTCCCAGAGGCTGTGCACACAGGATCGCAGATTTTCGTAACCACTGTAGAAACATACAGATGTTTTGGTTTCTACTTAGAGATAATCTGGTAATAGTCCCCAGTTCTGGTTGTTTTTCTTGTCCATTTGTGGCTTTCTGTTCAGATTCTTAATCAGACAGTCAAGATAATTTTGACCACAGGAGTAAATGGCTGGAAAAATGCCAGGGGAATGGCAGGTCTCCATTGACTGACGACAGCCTGGCTCCATTCTTGTCAAAAATAATGAGACATTCTGGGTGTCTCAATCACAACCAAATATATATAAAATAAATCAAGCTATTGCAAGAATTTTTTTTAAGGAAAAAAAAAAACAACAGAATATTAATAGCTGGAAAAAGTAATTTACTGCCTACTCTTTCCCTGGTATCCCATGTACTCTTTGTCATGGAAAAGGTTTTGAGTGAAGCCTGATGATATGCTTGCAGCTTGTTCAAGAGTTTGTAAATCAAATTTAAAGTCTTTTTACCTTTAATAGCAGCTCTTACTGGCAAAATAAGATTTTTAATAAGATAAGATAAATCTTATTACATAAAAATGAAGGCTTTATTCTGTGTACTCACTGCAGTGGGTTGTGGTAGTTCAGTGATGTTTTCTTGGCATCTAGTTACTTATTTATAACACAGAGACATGGCAGGGATGAGAATGGGAAAATTCAGACGTGTGCCTGTGAGTTGTGTACTGCTGTCTGATTTACCTGAGGAGAAATTTATATTTGAGGCACAATTGTTTGCTTCTTCAGCAGTGCTGGAGGGAAGACTTAGATTTGAAGACAAGGGAAAAAAATCCCCCAGTTCGTGCTTGAAACAATCCCAGACCAGTTTGACTTTGGATGAACAGCTCCATTTCAGTGAGTGCTTAAAATTGTCACCAAACCAATTAAAGCAATATTTCTGCATTATGTTATAGGATAACTACTAAAGTTAAGAAAATATTTGTCATAGAAGTGTGGAAATTTTAAAGGAAAATCTCTATAATTTTGTTTTATTACTTCTTGAGGAAATGTAATATGTGATTCAAATTAAAAAGCTCATGTCTTATTTTGCATCTGAGAGATTACAGCTTCCAGACCCTGTGTGGATGAAAGAACAAGCTGAAGATTTCTCCACCACAGCAGTGTCAAACCCCAGCTGTGATATACCCAAGTGTGGGAGTAGCTCTGATAAACGGTCTGTCATACCTGTGTTGTTTGGGCTTTTTTCTTCCCTGCCAGCTGGTTTATCTTGCTCTGGCTTCAGCAGAGGCTGGGAACAGAATTATTTCTGCAGGGAGAACATTGAGAAGTGAAGAGGTGCTATGACAAGCGTGTTGTGGCCTGTGCTTCAGACCAGATGAACACTGTGTGAATATTAGGGAATTATTTTGTAATGGGAGAGAGGAAATTGTCATTGGCTTCCACTGTGCTTGCCAGCCTCTGTGGTGACTTTTTCACTGATGCAAAGCTAAAACAGAGCTATGAAATGAGATCTGATCACACTCATCCATTGTCTGGGCTGTGCAACCCATTAAACCCAGAGCCTGGCATGCTGCAGGTTGGCAGGGCTGCCTGTGCTGCAGCAGCAGCAACCCTGGGGGGCACAGGGCATCCCCAGGCATCTCTGGGGCTTGACACAACGGGAGCCCAGGTAGTTTTAGCTGTTAAGTCAGTGCTGAGTTTCCCAGGAATGATCACACGAGGGCAGTTCCTTCCTTCAGCCTTGCCCCTGTTACAAATGGCTGGTTTAAGTGGGGTTATTTGAAGCACACCTGGGTGCCTCTGTTCTTAGGCTCAGTTGGGTTTACTGTGTTTCTTCATGATTTGCAGAGTAGGAAATTTGAGTCAGTCTAGTCTGGTACCCCTCTGCATTGAAATGATTTCTCAGTGATTTGTTTTTGCTTTCAAACTGAATACCAGCCTTTACTTACAAAAAAATGGCAGGTTTGTTCTGTCCCTTCTGTGGAGACTGTTCTGGGTTTGGTTTTTTTTTTTTTTTTTTTTTTTTTAATAGATTCTTACATGGTAGCACAAATAGGAGATATTTGAAAAGCAACTCTTACAGGTAGGTCATATTCTGATGGAGCCATTCCAATTGACCTGCAGTGTGCTGATCAGTGAGAGCAGATGGAGGGAGCTTTCCTTTCTCTCTGCTCAGAATAAGGCATTGGATTGACAGACTTCAGGGCTAGAAAGGAATTTAGAACATCCCCATCTCAGCACAGAGCTTTCTGTGAGAATAAAGCTAATAAAAATAAACATTTAATAGAACTTGCTTTACGGTTTTATCTTACCTCATTAGTAGATATGCCAGGGCTCTTTCACTTCAGGGTTTTCTACAACAAATCAGCCTGAGAGGTTAAAAAATTGTAGTGCGAAAGCAATTTATGATATTTCCTATTTTAACCTAAGGGAAAGGCAGCCTTTCTTCGGGAAGTGTTGAATATATGATATACTATTGATGTCAGCATTTATAACATTATAAGACTGAAAAAGTGTCTGTACTTTAATGCTTACTGATAGGGCTTCTTCTAGTCTGGTTGGTCTTGAAGGAACTTGGGTTTGCAGCTGCCATACCTGCACATCTAAGAGGAGGGTGGCTTTTAGTGGGGAGAGGAAAATAAGCTGTTGGTGTAGTCTTGCCCTAGATGCAGGAAATAAATGGGATTATGGCTAATCTTTATTGCTTTTAGAAAATGCTGTCTCTTAAGACTGCAATATCTAAAGCTTTTGGTACTGGAGTTAAGCTAAGCCTCAGTGTGTTTTGGGAACGAGTGCCAGCAGCTCCCTACTAACAGTTCAGTGCAGACCTGAAACTTTTTAAGAGAAAGAGGAATGCAGATGCTCTGTGATACCATGTCAGGTATAATTCATCTGCCTTCTCAGAAAAGGCTGATGAGTGGGCTTATGCAGTATTTGCTTTATTCATTTTTAGAACCATACAGTCGGTAAATTCACAGTATGGCATGATTTCATATTAGTTTCTCCCTTAACTTCCAGGTGGCACCTGCTGAGTTGGACTGCTATGTGGGCATTATTATTTGCTGAGATTGTTATTGTCTATAGGAAAATAGTTGGTAAATCTTTTTAGCCTTTATTAAATTTCACTTTAAAATCATAATGTCATCACTTTTTAAATAGGTACAAACAGCAGCTATACAGTTACCACGAAAATTGTATATAACGGTGTGGAGTTTGTGTGGGGTGATTAAGAGGTTTGTTGCTGGAGTTTACATTGCACAGTTATAGGATAATAAAATGCATGTTATATGGTATGTAATATGGTGGTATGAGGCAAAGAGGTCTGTAACTGTAACCCCTCATCCTTAGTTCACAGTTTAAGCAGTGACTAAATCAGCTTTTTTCCCTTCTATTGTAATAAACTCCTTTCGTGATGGATCCAACATCATTCTTGTTACTTTAGTGCAACAGCTCAGAAATTGCTGTTTGTGAACATCAGTGACAAACATAACCACAGTTAACATTGTACTTTCTTTTTTCTCCAAGAAAAGACCTAGGTATCAGAGTTGGCATTCATGATTGATTTTTAATTCTAAAGTCAGTTTTCAGATATCTTTCTTTCTTTCTTTCTTTTTTCCCCCCTAAATTTAACTCATTTTTATTGCTTGCTTTCTTCTCTTTTATTGCAGGTGGAATTGAGTATTCCCCTGAAAAGATCACAAATTTGAACTCAAAACCTGCCCACCTAGGGTATTGAGAATTAACAAGAAACAAGGATTCTTAGGTGAGTATTTCCTGCAGACTTTCCTGTCTGTGCTTGGGAGCAGCACAGCTTGTTCAAAGCCACATGGTAGGGCTGTAAAAAGATGGGGTCTGTACTGCTTTTCAGCTGATGCAGTGCAGCAGTGTAAATAAGTTTGTGGCTGGTTTTTTTCCTTTGTCTTTTTCTCTGACTTCACCTCCTAGTCTTTGGGATGGAGTAAAAAGGAATCTGAGGGTGGCTGACTCCCTTTTCCCTCATGCACAGTATTGGTGCTGCTATGAGAACACAGAAGATAAGGGAGCTGCTGGAGTTGTTAACTTCTCATAGCCACCAGCTTCTGGGTTAACTCTGCTGCCTGGCTGATGGAGCTGATGCACCAGGGTATAGTGCCAAGCTTTCTCAGCCTGGGACTTCCCACAGTTTGGAATGTTCCTTCTTTTTTTCCCCTGTCTGGGTTTTGGGATCTTCAGAGTTTGCAAGCGGACAATGGTTTGTTCATTTGTTCTTTTGAAAACCATTGAGTGCTTTGATCCTGTGGCACTAAGCAGAATAGAAGTATGTGGAAAATAGATGTAGTTTGTGACTGAAAATCCACCAAGCTCTGTGTGTCTACCATACTGGTAGTTTCTCTTGCTCCAGAAGCAAACAGTACATAAACAATCCACATGGTTTTCTTTCTGTGCATGCAGGTCAGCTTTGGAGGGAGTTGCTGCTGGTTACAAGGACAGTTTCAGACACACACAAAACCAGATATGCCTTTGTAGTCTCAGTGGTGGTGTAAGCCATGAAGTTGTGTTGCAGATGTGGTGTGTGTTCAGTTTTGCTTTCATTTTGAAAGGTAAGTGGATGAGAGCCTCATGCAATGTATCAGTGATGTCCAGATTGGAGAAAATAGTCCAGCTGCATGGAGTTTGATATCCTGCAGCTGCTGTTCAAGGGCAGGGGTTTTATGCCAACACAGACAGCCAGACTAGCTTGCCCAGGTGCCACTGGCTGCTGTCAGGCCAGCTGAGACCTTACAAACTTTCACACAGGTTACAAACAAGTTCTCATGAAGGCATAATTCAACTCCAAGAGTTGAATCTGGAACATCTGGTTACATTTTTCTGCAGAGAGCAACCCAATGCTCCTGCAGAAAGCCCTGAGCACTTGCCCTTTTTAGTTTCCAGGATGCAGACCTGCCTAAATTTCTGGTTGGCAGCACTGAACACAGTCCTGCTTTGGGGTTTCTCAAATAATCAAAGTAAAGCTTTTTGCTCCTGACTTGCTTCTGAAAGAAGAGAACTGGAGTGAGGAAAGCCTATCTGCATCCATACACATCAAAATCAATAGAGAGGCTTTCATGTTTGCCTCAAAAGGCTCCTGTACCTTCCAGAAAAACCCGCAGCCAGGTCAATTAGAGGAGGTCCCTGTGAAGCTCCAGAGCTATGGGCTGAATCATGGCTCTCTGTGTCTGACAGAAAGAGTGTTTGAGAGCATCTCCTGGAGGAATTCCTTCTTAGAAGTGCTTACCTCTTACCTGAATCCCTGCATGACCTACTGCAGCCAGGCAGATGCACCTGACAGGCTGCTACTGTGCCAGCTCAGCCTGCTTTGCTCTTCCCAGGAGATGCAAGGTCTAAACAGCCACTTCTTTCACTGTGCTTGTCCTTGTACCACCGTGTTAGACTGGCTTTTAAAGTAGAATAAAAGGTTTTCACAAGTTTGAGGCTGAGTTTTTGGAGGTATTCAGACAGACAAAGCTTACAAGTGAGCTGAAAGTTGGTTTGGAACAGTGCTTATGCTTAGCCCTGCTGGTTGATTTAGAAGCATATTTATATGTCCTTCAAAGTGCAGATTAGCCAGAGAGCTGGCAACTCAGCTTTTCATTAGCTTTTCTCCCTCTGATAGTGGCTTGTCTACAGTGAAAGCAAGTCTCCACATGCATGCAGTCAGAGGTGAAAAGCTGGAGCTTCTAATTCTAACCTAATGCTGTACTGGGACAGATTCTTTGTGTCCTGCACGTGGCTATCCTCCCCATAAATCATAAATGGACACTAGTGACTAGAGTGGGAGAGAGCTCTGCATGTGGCCCAATGAATCCCATCTGCACAGGGATTCATTGAGGTGGGAAGAAACAACATTTTTCAGAGTGTTCCTGTATTCTGAAGTTTTCTACAAGTGGATTTCCTCTCCTTTTGCAATACTGAAAGGAGGGAGGTGACAATGGCCATAAGTGATGCCATGTGAGGAATATTTAAATGAGAGGCTTTTCTAGAAAGTTATAAAACGTAAAAACAGTCTTTAAACAGGACTAGTCAATGTTGTCAAGAGATATGTCATCAAAAAAATGTTGAGGAGAAGGGGGAAAAAATGGTGGGAACACTGTGTGGCTCCATGTTTCATCACAAAACAACACAAAGTCCTTATAAACAACTGACAGAGCTGAGATGGGAGCAAACTAGGACAGGGATCCTGGGGTCTTCTCTGTGCCACTTCCTTCTCCCAGAGGCAGCAGTTGCTTTAGTTGATTAAAATAAGAAAGCTTCTGTCTAAAGCTTAATCAGACATTCTATCTTTAATTTGAAGAAATGGAAAAGCCAAGGAGGAACTTTACTGCCAACACAGGCACTTTTAGTTAGACTTACCTCTTTCTCTGTGTCCATTCTGAAAGGGTTGGAAGTACAAGATGAGAAACATCCTCAGCCTTGAACTGTGTTGTCCACAATATCCATATTTTTTTCCTCCTCCTCTATGCTTCAGGCTATTTATTAATGCTGGAGGCTTTCTGAATGGCTCAGGGGAGGGTGAGGATAATGTGGTGAAGCTTCTTATCCTGATCCAAGAATGGGGTTGGTCACTTCTCTCCCCAGCCCACCCCTTCACCTTTCCTGCTGTCAGATTGCTCATTCTGAAAACTAAATTGGTTTGGGTTGAAAATAGATCCATTTATTGTTTTAAACGATTTATAACTTGCCAGTCAAGTTTTTTGTTATGTGTTTAAATTTCTGAATATTGTATTTAAGTGTGAAGTTTACTTTTTCAGGCTTACTACTTATTTAAAATTGCTTTGAAGCATTACTGGCAGCATTTGGTCATGATAAAATAGCTGCAGAAGGAATTATTTTACAAATTTGAAGTGCTGTTCATATTACCTGAGTGAAAGTGTTTCTTATTTTGTACCTGATTTTTCATTCTTTATGATGGCTCTCCTGGCACTTGAAGTGTTAGTCAGTCCTGCTGGGTTTTAATTGAATCCAGAACTATCCAAAGCTCAGCTTGCTTTCACAAAAAGTAATTTGAAATATGTTTCAATTTGGATTTCCTGACTCCAGCTACTGCAGCACATGTTTTGTGCAGAGATGTGCTTTCTTTTGGTGTGCATAAAACTGTCTCATATTCTGAAAAAAATTACTCTGCAAGGCTCTAGTACAGAATGGTGGTAATGACAGAGATATCTAGCAAGATAATTGCATGATGCTCAGTGTTGCTTTGCAGTTTTTGTTAATCTGTGAGGGAAATCACTCCTGTTTTATTTTCCTTCTGTAGTGGCATATTGAGCCATTTATCAGCATAGAGAAATTTAGGTTGGAAGGGACCCCTGGTGGTCATCTGGTCCACCCTCCTGCTCAAAGCATGTTAGACTAGATCAGGTAAACCTTTCCTTTTATCTAATAGGAATTTCCCGTTGCCCAATTTTTGTCCATTCCTTCTTGTCCCCTTACTGTGCACCTCTGACAAGAGCCTGGCAGCAGCATCTCTGCACCCTCTGAGTGAAGACAGCACTGAGGTCTCCCTGCAGCTGTCCCTTCTCCAGGCTGAACAAACCCTTAGGCTCTCCTGCCTCCTGTGCTTCAGCTCCCCAGAAGTCTTGGTTGCCTTTCACTGAGCCCCTGAGTCTGTGTCTGTAATTAGGGGAAGGACTGGGAGGGGATGGGATAGCCTTATCTGATGAGGTAATGGTCCAATAGATGAGAAAGAACAAAAACCCAAAAGCTGTGCTAGATGCAGTCTCCATTAACGCATTTCATATCCACAGGTCTGTGTTTGCTGAGGCGCACGATGTCTGCCCTGAGGCTGATCTCTAACAGAACCTCCCAGCAGGCCTTGTCCAACTCTGATTACACCTGGGACTACGAGTACTATGAGTATGGACCAGTGTCATTTGAAGGTCTGAAGGCTCATAAGTGTAAGTTCAGTAGGGACACACTTCATGCAGCTCAGCTTCCTGCCTACGTGTTCCTGTTCTTCACTTGTGACTGAATATTGTACAAAAACATCTCTCTCCTAATCCCTAAGATAGCCAGGAGATACTTGTGACTGGCAGAGATAAGAACAAAATCACTTTTTGTGCCTTTGAAAATGAGGAAGCCTCAGTAATGTTAGTGAGAGGCAAAATAGGTAGCAATGATCACAAGACTTGGAACTGCTGCCAGGATATGAGTCTGTATTATGAAGAAAAGGAAGGCCAAACCTGCAAATTGAAAATGTAGAAGTATCCTGTGAATATGTATTTGTAACTTTGGGCAGTATAAATGTCCTTCATACCATATTTGTTGAACAAAACTTGGGTTATGTACTGTTAATTTTGAATAAGTGGTTAGAATTTAGTAGGTTTGAATAATTTCCACTGAAGTGAGTGAGACCTAAATCAACTGTTGAAAAGAGCTCAGGATACCTGCTTGATGTAATTTATACAGCAGAGGGTTGGAAGTGTTTCAGGAGTCACAATAAAGCAAGGATGATGTGGCATTAGGCTCAGTAAACTTAAGAATTCGGTTGGGAGCAGGGATGTCCAACCTTAACTATTGAAGAATTCTAAACAAATTCAAATGATGTAATTTATACAACAGAGGGTTGGAAGTGTTTCAGGAGGCACAATGGAGCAAGGAAGATGTAGTATTAGGATCAGTAAACTTAAGAATTCTTGGGAGCAGGGATGCCAAACCAACCACAAAACAGGCTTGTTATTCAGCATACAATAGCAGGTGTGATTTTTGTGGTGAGCAGTACTTTACGGGAGCCTTGATTATCTTTTTTTTTTCTTTTTTCCTTTGAGTTAAGTTTTTTAGCTTGATTGCTACAATCTGTGTGCATATTTTTTAGTCATCTTGATTGCCTTTTACATTCTGGTAATTAATGCAGCTGCATACCATCCAAGCATGTCTGTCTAACTGGAAGGTATTAGTAGCAATACAAGTTTAAGTGGTAAATTTTTTTAAAGGGAATATTTATTTTTAGATTAAATCTTCAGGCACTACAAAGTCCAGCAGGATGAGCTATTTTGTATTAGGAAGGTAAGGTATATATTTATTAAGTGAATACAGACTGTCCTTACAGAATGATTCTGAAAGTAATTTAAGTGCACATAACATGTGGAATTACAGAAAAATGTTAATGGCAGAATGCTTTAAACAGAAAAGGGTATTAAAATTTCCTCCCCCTCCATCACAGAGACCTATACTCAAACCAGTTATTTTACACAAGGTGTTGAGAGGGGAAGATGTGGCATAGGAAAGATGGAATAAATATTGCAGTGGGAGACTTGAAAGTTAACCTCCTTAGCTTACCTAAGAAAGGGATTAAGGAGAGACTTCATTGTGATAAAGTATTTTCTCAGGGAGAAAATCTCAAGTTGCAGCAGTCATTTTGATTTTGCAGGGAAAGAGAGAATGGTTTGAGTTGATTTCCAGTTTCCACATCTGCCTTTTAGCATGGAAGATATTTCCCAGTGGGAGCAGGATTAACAGCTGGGGTCAAGCACCAGGTAGGATAGCTGATTCCGGTTTTTTCAGTGTCTTTAGTTAGTCCTGTAGGAAATGCAACAGTTCTGTGCTGTGCCTGCTGCACTGGGTCAGACATGACAGGCAGTGAGGATCTCTGAGGCTTGGTAGTGGCTGTGTAATGACAAATAAGGGTAGAAAGCATTTCTGTCCTGGCCAAGCCTTCCCTCCTGAATGTTTGTATGTTAATGGTTTTGAACTTCTACAGTGGAAGTTTTGAATACTTGTATAAGAAAAGAGTAACTAACTTAAATGACAGGTGAAAAAAAACCCCAGAGTGCTGATGGGTCTTGGGCCAGGTAATAGCAAGTGTTGGTGCTGTCCAATTTGGTCCATGGTAATCAGTTGATTGTGTCTGGAAATATCTTTGTTCCACTTGAACCTCTCTAAATCAAGTTCCTGGAAACTCTAAACAGCTTTGAGCAACTGTGAATCCACCCTGAAGTTGTAAGTGGACATAGATTTTTTTTTAGTAGTGCTGGCAAATTGCCTACAGTCTATTTGCTATAAATGAGAAGAGTACATAGAGTTTAAGCACACAGGCAAAAAGCTATACTCTTCCCAATGGCTGCTATATTTGGCTATTGCAGTGTTGTTTTTCTATTGATTAACTGCTGGTTTGACTTTTTTGTCTAAATCTCTTGTGCTCCTCTGACACTGTGTTGCAGTTTTCCACACTTGAGTTGGAAACCCAAATTGAAAATGATTCAAAAATATCTGGTATCTGTTGGTTATTGATATGTATTGAAGTAGCAAATAGTTTTATCTGTGGTTCTGTTTCTTGCAGAACCCTCTGTCTTGCCACTAAAAGGTCTTCCTAAACATATTTTGTCAAAGAAATCCATTTAAATCCAGAAACTTAATGGTCTGGGGCAGAAATAACCTAAAAGAGCAGGAGTTCAGTTCTACAGAGACAGAGAATATGGGGAAAATCAAATAATCCTCTTTCCTATTTCTAGCACTGAAGTTCCAAAGCAATGCTTGGAAATGGGCCTGGCATCACACAGGGAGCTCCTCTTATTTTACTTACCAAGAGAATTATCTTCCCTCAGTTATCTACTCTCTGGTTTGTCTAGATATCAGTAAAATTTGGTCTCAAAATGAGATTTTCAATGGCAGCTTTCTGTTTAAAAATAGATAAAGATAAATTTGATTATCCCTTCTCTTTGTCACCCAGAAATAAGCTGCAAATTGTTTTGGGTTTGCGCTTGTGCTGCCTGTAGAAGGCAGCTTTTTGCAAGTGCAAGTAAAATATTGATCATCTTGTTTCCCTTTTTTTTTTTTCCTTTCACCAGATTCCATTGTGATTGGATTTTGGGTTGGTCTTGCAGTTTTTGTCATCTTCATGTTTTTTGTCCTGACCCTGCTGACGAAGACAGGAGCACCACATCAAGAGTGAGTCTGAAAATGGGAATAACAAACCCAGCCTGCTGCATTTGTGGCACACCACAGCTCTTGCAGCCCCCAAACATGCAGAGGCAATGCTGACATTATACCATCTTGTTATAGTCTGTTCTTATGAAACAGTGCATCCTGTCCTCATTTCAAGAAATCTTAGCATTTTCATTCTAAAGGGATGTTTTGCGTAGGCTGCCAAACAGGTGCCTTTAGATTCTTGTAAACAGGTGGGATGGTTCTAAGTAGGCTCAAGTTTTCATGGAGTGATACTGTGAATATCAACAGAGTAGATACAAATAAAATGCAGTGCAGATGTTGAATTAAGGAAGCTGTAGCCTGGCTAGTTTCCAAATGTTTGTGTGCTCAGTCCAAAGACAGATTTGGGTAGTGTTTGCAAAATCTTCCCTTAACCCCTGAGACCTGAGTGTCTTTGTTTCTGCTGAAAATTGCAATGAATGCTGAAGTAGAGACCAACTCAACATTTCTTTAAAGCCAGGGTCCCTTGAAAGTCCTCAGTTTTTTATTATTTCTAGCTGATAAGTATGTGCAGACCATGCCTTGCCTCAGTGGTTTATCTGCATTTGCACAGGATGCAGGCTGCCAGTGTCCCTTCCCCTGAGAAAGTTTGAACCCATGTCTGCTCGCAGGCTTGTGTGCCATAAAGTGGAAATAAAAAGCCTCTCTGGAGTGTGAGATTGCTGGCAGGCAGGTAGCAATGATGAGAAGCTGATTGTAAAAGGCAATTGCTGCTGCTTATCTCTTCCTAAAGCAGCCTGTCTCTGCCTCCTGCAGCCCCTTTGCTATTTAATCACATGCAAACTGGCTCTCCATGGAACTGTGTAATAGCACATCTCCAGAGACAGGCCACGTTAGAGATGGCTGATGTACATCCTGAGCCTTTTCTGTGCTCCTAAAGTTTTGCTCCTGTGAGAAGAAAATAGAGTCAGAAGAATCCAGCTTACCAGAACGGAGGTGCTGGTATTTTTGCTTCCCCTACAGGCTGTTATGGAGTAGCCAGACATTGCTCCCAAACAGATTTAAAATCCATGTAATTGTTGTGTGTCCTTTTCACATCTTATTTATTAGCTGAGCACGAGTCTGGATCCCATGTGGATGATTTGAGAGGGGAAAAATTATGAAGTAAAAAATACATATATAGAGAGAATTTAATACGGATATTTGCCAAAAATTTTTACACGTGTAAAAATTTACTTTCAGGTAGCAGAGGCCTGCTTGATATCTCCCACCTTTATCTGCTTTTTCATCAATTTTCTCAGAACAGTGTCCTAAAGAGTTGGTGAAATGTCCACCTTTGGTCATCTTCTACATCCAGAAATGTAACCAGAATTCAGTCTTGCCTTTCTTGAGACTTCCAGAAGTCCCTTCTGTTTTACACCTTATTATAATTTTTCTTCAGTTGCTGGAGTGAGGCCAATTATTCCTTTCTGTATTTTTTATAGATATCTTTGCAGCTTTGGGAGCTGTGTGCCTGAGTACTTGCCATGCAGGCTGAGTTGGCACCTTTAACAAATTTGAGGGTTTTTGCCACTTGCTGATGAAATGCTCATGGTACTGAACATGGATCCTCTGAGAATACACTAAGAGCAGTGAATACAGTTGGGTTCTCTTATTTTTGATTCATGTGTATAAAAACTGGAGAACAGCTACCTGTAAAACCACTTGTTTTAGTTTGCCTGCATCTTCTGTTTCCATGCCTGACTGGATTCTTCATGGCTTGGCATTTCATTAGTGAGCTGCCTTGAGCCCTCCTTTAGAAATAGATGTTACTGGGATTCCCAGGTCCTGGGAGAAAGCCAGCTTGATTGATGGATGAAGTCTCTGCCTTCAGGAAGGCTATTTGGCTGTTCTTTAAAGTACCATTAATGTGAGAGATTAAGTGTATCTGGGCTCAGATGGATGGATCCAAAGTACAATACTCTGAAATTTTTTTTTCTATTAGGATGTTTTTCTTGGCTCAACATAAAGGGCCATGATAGGATGTACTTTTCAAAATTACACAAGATGTTCAGAATTAGGTACATTCTCAGACCAGAACGGACAGGATATAGATGGGCACTGGCAGAAATGTAATGAGGTATGGAAATTATGTCTGTTGCATTTCTCTTTTGTTCACTTGCATATATAAGTACGTGTGGAACATTAGTTTGTGCAACTGAAAAAAAATATTTGGCAATATTTGAATTTCCAAAAAATGTTCTCATTCATCACTAGGAGAGGAAAGCATTCCATGTTTGTTTCTGCATTTGAACATGTCCTTAAGAGCATATTTGTGCAACAAATGCAACCTATTTATACAAAATGCAACCTATTTATACAAAATATTGGCTGGTGTAATCTCAAAGCAGTAAATGTTGGGTAACTGATTTTTTTTTTCTTTTTAAGAAATCAGTTGATCCCAGTTGACCTGGGATTTTTGAGGCTGCTTTTCTTGAGTGTTCTGAAAAATACCTGCTGAGGAAATCTTGCAGATTGTAACAGCAAGACTATGCAAGCTTCTAGTCTAGTTTTAAAAAAAAAATGTAATAAAATTTCGCTCTAAAATTCAAATATGGTGTTTGTGAATTTCAAAATCCAAAAATATCACTGTATATTAGATCATGTGTTCTCTGCTCATGAACAGTTTTGTGCTTCATCATATATCCTCAGTATTCTGAGTAAAATGTATTTGCATCTTCCATTAATATTAGGTTGCCGTTGTGAGTCTTGTGTGCCCCTCTGCATGGTCAGCCTTTGCTCCTTCATGCTTCACTGGATTATGAAGCACTTTCCACACCTATGAAGTAATTCCACTCTTGTAGTGGATGCATTTTAAACTTTCTTCTGCAGTCACTTCTTTCTGGGCTTACAGTGCTTGTCCATCTTTCTGTGCTTATTGCCACTTCTACTGCCTGTGCCACAACACTACCTAGAAACTCTTGGGACAGATTTGCCAAATTATATATGAAACTAAAACTCAGAGTGGTGCTTTTTACTGCATCATAAATACATAAATGCCAGTTGTCAGTTCAGAATTATTCCAGGCTGTTTGCCTCCTGCTGTGTATATAGTAGATTATTACCTGGTTACTGGTAGGTCTTACATCAATTTAATGTTATTCTTCTGCCTGGATCACTTTGAAATGCAGAGTGAGCCCATACAGTTTTGACAAACTAGAGAACTACTTTGATTTCTAGGCTAGTGGAAGTGATTTTGTGAGGACAGAATTCCCCCATCATGTAATGGAAGTAAATTAGCTTTTGAGAAGCAGGGATCTTTAACTGTTCCTGAAACACTAATAGTAGGTATCCTGTGAACATTTTAGTGGGTGGATTTCTGAAGATGCCATCTGAGGCACTTATCTCCTACTGCAGGCTTGAGGAAATGAAATTGCACTGAAAACTCTTCAGTGCTGGGTGGACCTTTAGGTGTACAATTAGCATTATTTGCTACAGCTCCAGCTCCAGATGTAAACGGTATGATTTATTAGTTCTTAACAAAATTCATATTCTCAGAATATGTTTCATTGCTCATTCTCTGAATACCTCTACTGCCTTCCAAATGCAAATAACTTGCATTTTGTGATGATAGCATATAAATTCAGCCTGATGAAGAATGAATCTGTAGAACTGCTATCTAGCTTGAGCTCTTCTTACCCCCAGCTGCAAATGGCTCCTGCACGAGTCCGTGCAGATTGGTGCTGGTTGGAGATAAGATTTATAACGAAAACTGCCAAAAAACATGTTAAACTATCCTTCCTGGGCTGCCTGGATTGCTAAGACTGCCAGTGTTTAAAGCAGTCTTTGGTTCCAACTTCCCTAATTTGGAAATCTGGATATCATTCATTGAAGTCAGTGGAAAAGATGGTTTGGTGTCTGGACAAGCAAGAAACTCAATGCCCTCAGTAAGAGCAGAGCTGCCTGTGCCTCAGAAACATTTTGTTCGTCAAAGACTTTTCTCAAACTGTTCTTATGAGCCATTTAAAACAATTTTTACTACTTGAAATCAAGAGTGTTTATAAACACATTCAGTGAGGTGATTATTGCAGTATATTGATTACTAGAAGTGCCATTTAAGAGTGCTAGCATTAACTTTTTCCCATGGAAAATTGTCATGACAAATGAAGACTTAAATTTCTTCAGCAGAAAATAATAAACAGTGCTGGCTTTAAAAGTCTGTGGTAGACAAACTGTAGGGTTTCCTTTTCTTCTGATCATAATGGTTGCTGAAATCAAACTTGTTGATAAGAACTCAAATAGTTCTACTTTTGTATTTACTGTATTTTTCTTGTTCCTCCATAGCAATGCAGAACTTTCTGAAAAAAAATTTCACATGAACAGCTTTGTGGCAGATTTTGGAAGACCTTTGGAGTCTGAGAGGGTCTTTTCTCACCAAATGGCTGAAGAATCCCAGTCACTTTTCCATTTCTGCATTAATGAAGTGGACCATATGAACAAAGAAAAAGCAAGTCAGAAAGGTCCAAGTCTGGAGAGTAATACCCACTTCCAGGAGGTTCCCAAGAGCAGTGGGATGTTTGAGGAAGACCTACATTGTCTTACAAAATTTAACATTCCTAACTTTGTGAACACTGAGCAGAACTCTTCATTAGGTGAGGATGATCTCCTCATCTCAGAGCCACCAATCCTTTTATAAAGCAAACTGGTTATGCAATCTTAACATTGGATCCTTGATTGAAATATCTTGTACTTTAAGGGAAACATCCCCATTATTGTCCAGTTTGAAGCCTTTCTTGGCCTCCCGCTCTTTTGACAGAAGGTATTTCAGACCTGTGCTTTTTATTGTATGTGAGACTGGCTGTATTGATAGAACTCGATTTAGACAGGAAGTAAGACACTGAATGCTTTATTCTGATGCCTTCTGTGGTCTAAAACTTCTGCCCAGTATTATTTTTGCTTTTTGATTTTGTTTGTTTCTTGTACTGTTCGTCATTTTTAAATTACTACTTATGACCAGCTTCTGAAGGATCATAATTTATAAGAATAGTGAAGGCTGGAGCCTGGCAGTGGGAGGTCTGTGAAAATTCATTGGCCAAGAAAAGTGTAAATCTCAAAGAAGACTGAAAAAAGGAATAAACAGCCCCTGGGGATGCTCTGTAGTTTCTGCTGCGCCCAATAAGGATGCCTGAAGTTGAGCACCACAACAAATACCTGCCTGGGACTAACTTCAGTTTCTGATCCCTAACTGCTTTTTGGTGCAGGTTAAACCCAATTTACAAAACTTCCAGAGGAAATACCTTGCAAATTAAATTGTTTGGTTACAGTGTTTACAAAATGCTATCACCACCTGCTGCTGAGTAAAAACAAACTGGTGCTTGTAATTATATTGCAGAATGACACCTCAGCAGCTGCTCATGATGACATGGAATTAGTATTCTATACACACACACAAAACGGTGATTTGACTCTTTCTTTTTCTTTTTTTTCTGCTAATTGCTGGACTCAGTAGCTAAATCACAGGAAATAAGAAAAACCCTATTTTTCTTTTGCCAATAAAGTTACTACATGCAAATGCTGGTGGTATGCTAAGCTGGTGTCATGTGTTGCTAATAGGCTGAACCTTCCTATGCTTTTTGCCTTTATAAAAGGTCATTTCTTTACTCATTGGCCAGTGAAGTGCTTGCAGGCTTTTTGCTGAGAGGACCAAATCTGAAAGTATAGCTAAGCTGTGCTTGCTCCATCTTCTTTTGTCCTCAACTGCGATAGTGTTGCAACCCCAGCTGTTCTCCAGTGAAAGATTTGGTAAGGATTTGAATAGGTATATTTTCAATCTTTATTTTTTAGAGATGCAATTAAGTTCTGAACCTTTGAGAGTACTTAAAATTGTATTTCAGCTTTCTTCAAAACTAATGACTGAATGGTTTTAGAGCAAACATGTAAGGGTTCAACCCTTTGCTGGATTTCAAGTATGCTCTACACAAAGTTCTTAATTGAGATGAAAAGAGTGTATTCCAGATATGCCTAACTGGATTTTCTTGAAATTAACATACTTTGTATCCAACATATCTGTGTTCCAGGTTTGAGAGCTGCTGATACATTCTTCAGCCACTAAAATGCTGATTAATTAACCCCTTCTTCACCTTACAAATAGGAAAAAGAGTGAATGGGTTGTGCATTTAAAGAATACAAATTGTGTAGGAGGAGTGAAAGGAAACATCTTTTGTTTTTATGTCCTGTGCCCTTATTACACACCACTTACAGCTCAATTTCCTGTTTTCAAATGTGTTTTTTGCAGGACTTGCTAGTGTTTAAAGCAACAGGATTACACTTAAAGCAGAGACTTTAAAACTAGCAGATTATTGCTGAAAATAGTTCCCTAAGACTGAAATGAACCCTGTTCTGAATGAGTACAGCTCCATGACCTGCAATGCACAGCTCCAGTAAAATGTTTCTGGTGCCTTCTTTCACAGGAAATACATAACTACAACTGTGAAGGCTGTAAGTGTGGACTTTCCTTTTCCTAAATTTGGGAAATCTGTCTCTGAATCTACTTCCTGCTGAGGCACCTCAGTACCATTAGCTATCTGATGGTTAAAGTTTGAAGCTCAGTATCATTTTTGCTAACTCATTGTGGGACTTGTAGTAAATGGAGCTTTTATAGCTGATTTCTGGATGACTGAGCTGCCTTCGGTAATGTTTGAGCTATTATTTTATTTTTTCCCTTGTTGTGCTTGAAAACAGCAATGCTGCTTGAAGGAATGGCAAATCTATGTGGAATCCATCTTCTTTTCAACTGAGAAATGAAGGGTATTTTTATGCCATTTAAAACTACTTTTTATAGATTGTTTAGGCTAGAAAAAGACCTTTAAGATCATAAAGTCCAACCATTAATTCAGTACTGCCAAGTCCCCATGTAAATCACCTTACTCTGTGCCACATGGCTTTTTCAAACCTCTGGGGATGGTGACTCCACTGCCTCCCTGGGCAGTCTGTTCCACAACCCCTTGGGGGGAAAAATTCTCAAAAGTTTCAGAAGTTTCAAAATAATGCAGATGGGGTTTTATAAAAAGAAGACACTGCTATTCCCTGTAGGCTAGCCTACGCTTTTCTTCTGCTTCCTTAAATGTCAGTGGCTTTTCTTTGGGTACATAACTACTGTTTTGGGGAGAAAAAGGAAGCATTTTGTGTATGGATACTGGGAATAATGCCTAGATGAAAGGTGCTTAATAAAATGACCCAGAGATGATTCCATCTTAACTTAGAACACATTTGAACTGCATAGTTAATATCCTTCTGCAGCATGTATTAATCCTGTAAAGCTATTTAAGTGTTTGGTTCCTGCTTCTATTCTTTCCTGATGACAGATCTACTTTTTTCATCTTATCTCTCTTCTATGTTTAAGGTCCTTCATGCTGCTTTTCTCAGAAAAAGAACCTGCCAGTCCCCACTGTAGAGCTCCCACACCACTCCAGAGACACTGTGGCAGCAATGGTCTGATTCAGATTTTTGCTCTGCCTCAGAGCAAACGCAAAAATGTTCTGCAGTTTTCAAAAGCAGCTATTTTAAGGCTGTCCTTCCTTTTTTTCCCCTTTTAAATAATAATAGATATATTTTGCCTCAGGGGAAAGGGCAATATATAACCTGTTAAAAAATAACCTTTTCTCAGAAAATCAACTCATTGATGCACTAGAAGCAGAATAGAAAGTGTTCTAATCAGAGTAATCTTCAAAAGGAGTACTTGGAATTGAGTGGTGTTTGAAAATTGAATTTTTGTGAGTTTTCTTAGTGCTTGGCCTCAAGCCTCTTCTCAAAACTCAGTATAAATGCATCACCTGCAGCAGATTTAACTGCAGAGAGACATAGCTCCTCTAAGCCAGCTATATATGTTTGTTTGCCTAAACATGACTTGTATTCTGGAAGAACTTACTAGGTCAAGTTATTTATCCCAGTTTTCAAAGCTAAATACTTGAAAAATGCTCTTCTATATTAACAAGTTTTAGTTGTGTATCTTAAAAAAAAAAGGCAAAACCCCAAAACCTATAATGTAAAATCAGTAAATGCCTGCTCATAGAGAAGAGAAAGAGAATGGTAAAACTGTGATTATCTCCAGTGCAATCCAGAGCCATACAGTCTCTGAGACTGCAAGGTGAAGTCAACAGGGTATATTTGTAATGAAATTAAATATTTATGCACAAGAGCCCTGGACCCTGAATACTGTAACACTGACATTTTTTCCACTTTTTAGCCTTGGATATTGACAGGTAGCAAGGACAGCAGAGACCTGCTACCACACGTTCTCCAATGAGAGCAAGAGAGGCCTGTGCTTTCTTATTTTTGGATGAGAGGTATGTAGTTAGCTGTACGAAAGGCTACTTTCAATTCTGAGATATCACTGGATTTCTGTTCAAGAGTCAGGGCAGCACTTGATACATGACCCCCTTGTTCCTTGCAGAAGTGGATTTGCACAGCTAGTGCTGGTGTATCTGTCCTGTTTCCTTGTACTTTCCAGAATAGGTTAAATATGGGATAGAAGGGCAGACTTCAAAATGTATTATATGCTATCAAATAAAGTCTTCATTCACAATAACCTATTTAATTTGTTACATGAACAAGTCTGACATGTATTTCATAGAACTTGAAATGGAACACACTGCTGCTGTCTCTCTGCCCCAAGTGCCATGATGAAAACTGATCCTTTTCTGCACATTGTGTTTGCCTCTCTTGAAGCAATCTATGTCACTGAGTCACCTAGCCAGCTGTTCACATGATTTCTTAAGAGCTTCAAACACAACATTTCAAATTATTATACTCTGGCTGCTTTGCTGTAAATGGATGAAGTCCAGCTAAGCATTAGGAATGATTTAAAGATACTACATTTAATTCTTTTAATCCATCCATAATGCCTCCTGGAAATGCACGATGAAACAAGACGGTACAAGAAGAAAAATATACATGAGAAGTAGGTAATTATATAACTCCTGAACTATAACTATATCACACAGAAATCCTCAGAGAGTCAGTAAGAACTTCACAAGAGAACTTAAAACTTGCACCTTAGATCTCTAAAGGACTGCAGCCATTGAAGCCCAGAGAGTCTGTCACTGTGCAGAGGGACCACTTCATGATAAATGCTTAAAAACTGAAGACCATTCTTCAAAGAGTGTACAACTGCATAAATACTTGTAAGAAAATGGTATTAAACCACCTGATAGCTTACAGTAATGGTAGATAACACTGTCTCTGCTCAGTAAAACAGACTCAGAGAGAGAATTTAATTCCAGCTATGTAAGATACCAGCAATTGCTGAGAACTGACTGTAAGAATTGTAAAAAGTGTTTGAATGAACTGCATGAACATTAAGGCACCCCTCTGTTATTGACTTAAGCCCCATACACAGGAGAGAGTTTCCAGTAACTAGAAATGCTTCCTCTAGGATTTCTGTCCTAGGAATCTCCATCCAGGACTTGGCCTCTCTGGGAACACAAGGCTTGCAGTAGTTGAAAAAACTGAAGCTCTCACTTCAGGTCACACACTTTAATACAGTGTTACACACGTATTAAATTTCCTGTATAAATGACAAATTATACAGGAAATAAATTAGTTGAAATGATTCAGTTTTTAACCTTTTCATTTGCAAAACAGACCCAAATCAAGAAAATGCATTATATTTACACATAGCTGATATTTTATATACAAAGCTTTTGTATATTTACACATTTTATGACTATAGACTAATACTTTGTTAGTTGGGGACGAAAATAAAAATACTGAAAATATCTGAACATGAAACAATCAAGATTACCATACTAATTGGCAACTGCCCATCCTTTTAAAATATCTATATATGTGTATACAGGCTCATTTTATGTTTGTGTATGTGCCAAAACAAAAAAACCTTGTATTTAAGCACTATGTCTATATGGTATAATTTGTTATACTCTTTTGTTTTTTATGCATGCTATACCACGTGCTTGTATGACAGAAAATGCACATCTATTGCTGGTCCCTGAGGATCTTGATACGTAAACAGGCAAGCACAGACCTGAACTATTTCACATCTGACTTAAATGCTAGATTCAACCAATACTGCAGGTCCTCAGGGACCTAAGGAGTACAGTCTGGCTTTCATCTTCTCTTTGCCCTATAGAAGAGTTGCCCAGGTAAGTAGAGTTGACTGAGATACAACCTCAGCATACGTGCTTGGGAATTCTTAAGGACTTGCACACCCACTGAAACTTCAAACTAATAATGTACTGATTTATTGGGAAAGCATGCCTTCCAACCACCATATAGCCATCATCATCTATTTATATTTCCTTTATTTTTAATTACTGCTTCTTACATTTAGCAGTAGGTTTTTCATATATGTTAAGTGTAGTAGCCATGCTCATCATCCCCCCAGGCTCCTCTCTGGAGCAGTGCAGTTCCTATGGCTCCAGAGGTTCCTAGAGCTACAGTTCCCAGAGTGATGATTCGTCTGTCTTTAGTTTCCTGGAGTGATGATTCTTCTTTCCCTCCACTGGTCTATCTCTTTCTTGAAGGAAGAGATCAGGTGCAGTTCCTATGGCTCCAGAGGTTCCTAGAGCTACAGTTCCCAGAGTGATGATTCGTCTGTCTTTAGTTTCCTGGAGTGATGATTCTTCTTTCCCTCCACTGGGTCCATCTCTTTCTTGAAAGAAGAGATCAAAAGTGTAGTACCCTAAGCTACACATTTGTGCTGCAGCAGGACTTGCTCCTATGTACCAGCTCTACAGCACAGGTGTGTAACTGGCAGGACCTGAGGAGAGGGAGGAAGCAACAGCCTCCAACACTCAGTGTGTTACCTGCCATGATGACTGTCAGCTCACCAGAAAGTTACCTCCATGTTTGGTATTTTGGTCTGGTTTTCATTTTTTTTTCATGTTTTCTTCCCCCTGGCCCCTTTCCTAACTTGCCCAGTATTTTAACTCTACATCTCCCCACCTACACATCCCTGAAGTCTGAGCTTTAGCCCACTGTCTTTACATCTGACTGGTCTCTTAGCCTGTCAAGATCACCTACAGAGGTACTTACTATGTCAGATCCTGAACAGCCCATTGTAAAAACCTTATCAATACAGCCTTCCCTTTTAAAAGGGACACCAATAACTACACTCACACTGTATTTTATAGTTTTTTTCTGTATCTGCCCTGTGAGAATTCAGCCAGACCCACTCTGCTATCAGTCCTACCAGCACAGCTGGAATAATCTGAAAAGGAAACAACGAACAGCTTGAATTTGAGTACCACCAGGAATGCCTGCTCTGTTCCAGCCCTCCAATCATTCCCTAAAGTGGAAAGAGGTCTACAGGGAAGGAATATTATATTAATTGGAGGGAGAGAAGCAAATGTTGGAAAAATATGCTTTTACTGCCCTATGGAATGAAATACATCAATGCTATACACTAAATATACGAACTAAACAGCTTACTACTCAAATTTTTCACAAAGGAATCACTACAAGACAAATTAGAAATCAAACGTAAAAATATTCAGGCATGTTCTAGAGACTGAAAAAGGAAATTTTTCAATGGTAGTTGAATTTACAGAATAACCTCAATATTCCTATTATTAAAAAATATGTAAATTTATTACTAAGAAAATAGAAGACATACAGTATGACTAGAGTATTGCTCAATGCAAATCTGCTTCTGGACATGAGAGATTCCAGAGAGGATCAAAATGCAATGCAATTTATACATGTTGCAATAATGATTTTCAATAACATTTCTATACATAACTTTGAATATTAAAATTCTGCTGCTCTATTTAACTACTACCTAATCATGTCTTCTAACAGCTGTCTGTCACTCTGAATCCACTGGAATCAGGTGCAGGAATAACAACCCCTTGTTTCTGCAGTTCACGTAGAACATCCAGTATTGAATCCAACTCCATTCGAAATTTCTCCAGTTCCTGATTCTTCTGTTGCGCCAGCCTTCGCCACTTCTCAACCTCCTGGGTTTGCCTTACTTCAGAAATGTGCTGTCTTAGTTGGGTCGCCTGCAAATTAGAAGAAAACACTGTGATTTCCTATGCCAATACTCAGCCAGTGCTGCCACTTTGCAAAAATCTGCCACATCATTTTATCTGATGCTCAGTCTCAAGGCTGAATGCTCACATTACATGGAAGCAATTTGTTCTGAATATTACAAAAATCATTCTGCTAGCAATGAATTCCTTTAAATATCTGCATTAATGACAGAAGGGTAGAATTTATTATTGACTAATGAGCCCCAGAAGAATTTAACTTATCGTCTCCAAAGCAGCAATTACATTTGAATATTTAAGGCAAAGCTAAGCATATAATATAAAACTCTCTATAAATCAAAATTAACTTTCTGAATTTCCACTTAAATGTAGTAATTAAAATAATGCTCTGCAAAACAAACTAAATCGGAATGACATGTAAAACTTTCAAAAACCACAAGTTCTGTGAATTGTCAAAAACTGTCCTGTAGTTACAAAGATCTGATGCTGCTGCAGATAAAGGTCTGAATAACTTTAACACAAATCCGTGACATAATCCTATGAAGTTACACAGCATAAGAAGTGTAAAGTTCCACACCACAATTAATTGTAATAGATCCTTTAAAGAGAGCCTATCACTTAAAGGCCATAATTATCATATTTGCAGTTTGATACTAAGGATAACCCGTTCACTTCATGCTCAGCAATTTCCTTTTCAACACTATTCATTTTGATATAATTTGTTTGGGCAACTGTTCAATGCTCCAGTGCTGATGGTTACAGGAGAAAACTAGGACAAAACAAAACCCAAAGCTTAACATGTAACAAGGGCAGGAGCACCACAAAAAGATGAAATTATTTAGTAGTAATTATGTATACTATTATTTCTTTGAAAAAGCCCAAAAAATTACAAAACATCTTAGTAAATACTATTGGTATTCTGTGGAGCTAGATCACAGAGTAGGCAGCAGCAAACACTTCACAGAAATGGTAAATACATCCTCACATTATATAAAGCAAATTAATAGTAAAAAATGAATTGTATTATAGTCACCTTTAGCAGGACAGAATGTGAACAAAAATAACAAAAGCAACAGTGGCAACAGGATTTACTTTTAATCCAATGACTTGTTTTATGCCCAGGTCTTTTTTGAAAGAAAATAAGTATCTGATACAGAAATGTACAAGAAGAAATCCTTCCACAACAAAAAAATCTGTATATTAAAAACATATTCCTTGAGATCTGGTTTTACAATTTAAAAAAAAAAAAAGACATTACTATACTTTTAATGTAGCTTTTCTGAATAGGGCTACAAGAACTAGATAATTACAGTTCTGTTGAGGAATATATCATAGGTTAGACTCTGCACTCCAAACTCTTGTCAGTCTTCAGTAGCTCACTTTCATTGTGAAACTGAAGAACGAAATAATGATACTGACTCCAGAGGTCTGTCTGGAGTCCAGCCCTCTGGAACACCAAGACCTTAGACCAGGCTGCAAGGAAGTTACACAAGTAATCTTAATTACCACAGCAGGGTCGAGCT